ACCAGTACTAACATTGAGAAGATTTGGACACTGATGATGTTAGTCCCCATGTAAGTCTGCACCTGACTGTGGTCGGGTGCAGACTCAATCAAATTCCGTTCCATGAAACCTTTGTAATTGGTAATGCTTTTCGCTCCATCCCAATTAATAGTGTGATCACACAAACGTGTGTGTAGATAAAATGCACTAGACGTTTGGGCAGTTCTAATACTTTAAGCATGTTGGGACAAACGCAATTGCAAGGACTTTCCTGTTTGTCCAAGGTACACAGACTCACAATCATTGCAGGGAATCGAATACACACAACCTCCTGTGTCAGGGGAGTTTTTTTTTATTAAATTGGACTTTATCAGTCCAATATCAGAACATCAGTCAGTACCCAGCACCTTTCAGCACTCAGCATCCGTCTGCACTCAGCATCTGTCAGCACTCAGCATCCGTCCGTTCACAGCATCCGTTAGGACCCAGCATCGGTCAGCACCCAACATCCGTCAGCACCCAACATCCGTCAGCACCCAGCATCCGTCAGTACCCAGCATCCTTCAGCACCCAGCATCCGTCATCACCCAGCATCCGTCAGCACCCAGCATCCGTCATCACCCAGCATCCGTCATCACTAAGCATCCGATATCACTCAGCATCGTTACTCAGTTAGAGTAACTCTTTCTCTTTCAACGGTAAATATTACACTCAAACTTTCGGTGTCGCTATGGGTTCCCCTCTCTCCCCTGTTCTTGCTAATTTCTACATGGAATACTTCGAAACTGTTCTTCTTCCTTCTATTGATACTCGTCCCTCTCTCTGGCTTCGCTATGTTGATGACATTTTTGCTTTATGGCCTCATGACCTTAGTCTTTTCCAGCCTTTCCTCGCCTCTCTTAACAATCTGGCTCCTTCTATCCATTTCAAAGTTGAGTGGGAATCAAATTCCCTCCATCCTTTTCTTGATGTTCATGTTCACAGCTCTGTGTCTGGGTTCTCTTTCTCTGTCTACCGTAAACCCATGCATAGTGGCATGTACATTCACTTCTTTTCCTACCATCCTCCTTCTGTTAAGAAAAGTGTCCTCGTCTCTCTCTTCCTCCGCGCTCTACGCATCAGCGACCCTCAGTTTCTTGATTCTGAAATTGCCTTTATCTACAAATCATTCTCTCGCCTTGGTTACCCTTTGCATTTCATCAACTGTGCCTACTCTCAAGCTAAACGAAATTTCTTTCATCCTAAACCTGCTTCCAACACTAGTAGCACTGTACTATGCCTTCCCTTCATATCTGAACTCAAAACTTTTACCAATACCTTTCGTCCTCTTGACATTAAACTCGCCTTTCGACAAACTAACACACTTCGTAGCAATCTAGTTCACACTGCTCCTCCTGCTTCTAATGCTGCTGGTGTCTACTCTATTTCCTGTTCGTCTTGTCCTCTCCAATACTTTGGCGAAACTGGCCGTACACTGAATGACAGACTTAAAGAACACAAGAGAAGTGTTAAGTCTGCAGACACTAACAATGCTCTCTTCTGTCATGTGAGGGATTCTAATCATCCCATTGATTGGTCTTCCTCCAAAATAATCTTTCCTGCCTCTACTCTACACAGACGCCGTCTTGTTGAATCGGCTCTAATACACAATGTACCCAACATGAACTTGAGTCCTGGCTTTGTTGCTGTGGACTCTTCCCTTTCACAGTATATACTCAAATGCTCTAATCTTTCTAACAAACGTGACCTAACATAAGCTTACCCTTCCATTTATCTTTCTTTCTCTTTCCTTTTCTTTCTCTCTTCTCTCTTTTTCTGTTCATTGTCTTCTCTTACGTTCCCTTGCTATCCTCTTCTTATTCCTATTACTATCTCCTTCTCATTCGGTGGTTATAATAGGAGCTGCCTCGTATGGGCCAATAGGCCCTCTGCAGTTCTTATTCCTACTACTATCCCCTCTACTACACCTTACTTTGCTCCTCACCTCTCTCTTGCCTATTTATTGCCTGTCTCTACCTCCTCATCACCGGCGAGAGACGGCACCGCTCCTGTGCCAGGTAAGTCCACTACGGGCTCACCATAGCCCGCGCTATTTGCCCCGCTCCTGTGCCAGGTAAACTACGGGCTCACCATAACCCATGCTATTTGCCCCGCTCCTTTGCCAGGTAAATTACGGGCTCACCATAGCGCGTGCTACTTAGAACTTGTTCCGAGTAGCTGAATCTATAACAACACAAATCTCCTCATCACAATCGACTTGAGAATGGTCAAGGACTGACCGAAACGTCGTCGTCCCTTCAACTTCTAGTGTGTGATCTGGTCAACATACTTCAGCCACGTTATTGTGACACATCGCCTGAACACCACATTTGTTATGATTCATGAGAGTTTTGTTTCTGTGATTCCAATTACATCTGGGGTTACTTCATGTGCTCTTTCCCTAAGTTCACTCGCCTTGCTTGTAATCCCATCTATGTTCGAGTACATCACCTTGAAGCTGACTCCTTTCTGTCCATCCACAGTTTCTGTTGATTCCCCTGGAGTAGGAAGGGGGGACCCTGGGTCGTGAGGGGAGCTGAGAGCGAGGGGGACCTGGGTCATGAGGGGGCTGGGAGAATCTGGTTTGGAGAGGGTAGGGACAAAGTGAGGGCTTGGAGGGGTGGGGGAGAAGGGAGAGCTTAGGGGAATGGGGAGAAGAGGGGGTTTGGGAGGAAGGGGGAAGGACCTCATCCAAAACTGTTGTAACATATCACCTCACCCAAATGCGAGTATATAAGACAAAAGCTGTTTAAATATTAGCATAGCAAAACTCTGTTTAGTGTTTGCAGGTTATAGTTGGGTGTGTGTAAACTAAAGTCTTTGAAAATGTAATAAGTTATTACGAAACGCGTTCAAGTGTCGCGTCAGACTAGAAACTAAAATAAATTTTGGAAAATTGATTTTTTTATTACCACCAACAGTAAAAAGAAACATAAGAAATATTGAGAAAATTCGTGTTAGAATTATTAATCTTACTTTTTCGATCATATTTAACAACAAATGTTTACAAGAAAGACAAAATATACCAAAATATACTAATATATATTGTGACGGTAATCTTTTTCAAGAGAGATTGAGCCTGCTCTTCCCTACATAAAGTTACTCATATATATATACAACAATAAGATGCTACCTTCAAGATACGTATACCAGTAGCACAAAACGTTTTGACCAGGGGGTAAACGTACCCTAAACTCGCTCCACTCCACACTCCCTCCTGCCGGCTCGCCACCGTCGTCAACCACCAAACTACCACTCCAAGCCAGCGCTCTTCCCGATTGGTGGATTACGACTGTCCTCGATGCCATCGCCATCTACACCCCCCATATAAATAGACGTGCACAAGCTGTGGACTTCAGAATATCCTAGTGCTCTAAGAGTTGACATCTCTCTCTGGCATACTAAGCTCTCTGGCTCTGTATACTAAGGGAGGTCTCAGCCAAAGTCAATATTCTCAGCACCATTTACTATTTTGTCTAACGTAACCACTATTTTATTTTATATTGTGTTCTTGCATTTATCTCTGTTTTTTGTTTGCACTGTACATTGCCATGGGACTTGTCTTTCTTTTTATTTGTGTTTAAAGTAAATTAATGTTTAATTTTTTATACGATTTGTTTTACGTGTTCCTCCCTCTCACTTACCACAGGAAACAAGCCAAGCAGTCAACATTTTTGTTTTTTCTTTTTTTTTCTGTAAATGTGATTAGGCATTAACATGAGCCAAAGTGAAGACTGCATTACCATCTACACTTTCCCATCACAAAAATATATATATATATATATATATATATATATATATATATATTACTATTTATATTTTATTAGGAAAACATGAATTATGGTATGGTGATGGAATTATACGTTTGTGTATGGAGGAGCTTGTGGAGGAAGTTCGTGTCTGGTTAAGAATATGTGGAGTAGTACTTCAAGTGTGGAGTAGAACTTCAGTGTTAGAGTGAAACTTCAAGTATATTAAAGCTTCGAATATTTTGATGGAGCCGTAAAAAGGAGCCTCACAGGCATTAAGTGGGACTTCGAGTAGCAGCAAATATTGAAGAGACTGCAGGAGTACCTACCGGAGTTGAGGCCCCATAGTCGGATGTTCCTAGTGGTGGGCCTCACGACGTGGAACAGAGAGTTGTGTGGACGCCATCATATGCATGAAGAAGTGCTTGAATGTATATGGCGTGAGTGATGCAGTGTTAGGTGAGAAAGTTATTATTTTACAGTTGGATATATTTTCATTCGCAAGTTACCCAGCCACAAGGAGAGAGAAGGCAAGAGACTGTGGGCGAGAATTGTGCAGCAGCCTAGCGCAGTTTATTTGATGAAGAACAGATATTGTATAAGCGGTTGCTGGTTTGTTGAATCCTTTGATACTGTCATGTTGTATTATTATATCTCTATGTATTTTCATTTAATAAATGTTTGTCAGAAGACAACTAGTTTTACCTCTTGTCTTGGTGAGGATTTTTAGGAAAAGAGAGAAAAAAACGGTTGTAGAGTGGTTAACAGCAGACAGTAATATCACGAAGGGGAATTAGTAGATCAACCTCAAACGAAGAGAGTGTGGGGGAGTCACGGCGGCTCGACAGGGTGTGTGTATTCATGACCATAGGCAAGATTGGAGCCGTTTCCCCCAAGTAAAGGTGACGTTGAACCCCTCTTTGTGCATTAGTCGATTTCAGAGTGATCCTCCAATATGCACTCCAGTGTCGATTAATGGTTGATTGACGACAACAGCAGTAAGTTGCCGTGGATAATCTTATATTATCAGGGAAGTGGTCGGGGTCTCTGTGCGTTAGAAGATAAAGTTCAGTTTTTAAAAACCCTGAAAATAGGTCATGTTACCTAAGTATACACGTAATGTTAACAAAGTATACAGGTATTAACAAAGTAAACAGGATGTGTAAACAAAGTATACAGGACCTATTAACAAAGTATACAGGTAATATTAATAAAGTATACAGGTCGTGTTAGAATGAAAACTTTCTTATAACAATAAACTTAACTGTACATATTCTCTTATCTCTTCGTCTTTCCTCCTTATCTTACGTTTACACCTTCTCTGTCATCCTCCTTACTGCGCTCTACACCAAAACATTGCCCGCCCACCGGGCCCCCACCCGGACACCCACCCACCAGTACCCGGCCACCGCCCACCCGGCCGCCCACCCGGCCGCCCACCCGGCCACCCACCCGGCCACCCACACGGCCACCCACACGGCCGGCCACCCACCCGGCCGGCCACCGCCCACCCGGCCGCCCACCCGGCCACCGCCCACCCGGCCGCCCACCCGGCCACCGCCCACCCGGCCACCCACCCGGCCACCCACCCGGCCACCCACCCGGCCACCCACACGGCCGGCCACCCACCGGGGCGCTCACCCGGCCACCCACACGGCCACCCACCCGGCCACCCACACGGCCGGCGACCCACCGGGGCGCTCACCCGGCCACCCACACGGCCGGCCACCCACCCGGCCACCCACACGGCCGGCCACCCACCGGGGCGCTCACCCGGCCACCCACACAGCCACCCACCCGGCCACCCACACGGCCGGCCACCCACCGGGGCGCTCACCCGGCCACCCACCCGGCCACCCACCCGGCCACCTACACGGCCGGCCACCCACCGGGGCGCTCACCCGGCCACCCACCGGGGCGCTCACCCGGCCACCCACACGGCCGGCCACCCACCCGGCCACCCACCCGGCCACCCACACGGCCGGCCACCCACCGGGCGCTCACCCGGCCACCCACACGGCCGGCCACCCACCGGGGCGCTCACCCGGCCACCCACACGGCCGGCCACCCACACGGCCGGCCACCCACACGGCCGGCCACCCACCGGGGCGCTCACCCGGCCACCCACACGGCCGGCCACCCACCGGGGCGCTCACCCGGCCACCCACACACACGGCCGGCCACCCACACGGCCGGCCACCCACCGGGGCGCTCACCCGGCCACCCACACGGCCGGCCACCCACCGGGGCGCTCACCCGGCCACCCACACGGCCGGCCACCCACCGGGGCGCTCACCCGGCCACCCACCCGGCCACCCACACGGCCGGCCACCCACCGGGGCGCTCACCCGGCCACCCACACGGCCGGCCACCCACGGGGGCGCTCACCCGGCCACCCACACGGCCGGCCACCCACCGGGGCGCTCACCCGGCCACCCACAGCCGGCCACCCACCGGGCGCTCACCCGGCCACCCACACAGCCGGCCACCCACCGGGGCGCTCACCCGGCCACCCACACGACCGGCCACCCACCGGGGCGCTCACCCGGCCACCCACACGGCCGGCCACCCACCGGGGCGCTCACCCGGCCACCCACCGGGGCGCTTACCCGGCCACCCACACGGCCGGCCACCCACCGGGGCGCTCACCCGGCCACCCACACGGCCGGCCACCCACCGGGGCGCTCACCCGGCCACCCACACGGCCGGCCACCCACCGGGGCGCTCACCCGGCCACCCACACGGCCGGCCACCCACCGGGGCGCTCACCCGGCCACCCACCCGGCCACCCACCGGGGCGCTCACCCGGCCACCAACCCGGCCACCCACACGGCCACCCACACGGCCACCCACACGGCCACCCACACGGCCACCCACACGGCCGGCCACCCACACGGCCGGCCACCCACCGGGGCGCTCACCCGGCCACCCACACGGCCGGCCACCCACACGGCCGGCCACCCGGCCACCCACACGGCCGGCCACCCACACGGCCGGCCACCCGGCCACCCACACGGCCGGCCACCCGGCCACCCACACGGCCGGCCACCCACCCGGCCACCGCTCACCCGGCCACCAACCCGGCCACCCACACGGCCGGCCACCTGCCTCAAATGCAAATTTCTCCAAACGGAATTTATAGCAGAGGAACCCGGTGCATTTAATATATATAAATATTTTTTTACATTTAAATACAACGAGCAAAAATAGCATTTTTATCAGATCATTAATATTATAAAAAAAAATACATTTGTCTGAATAATAGCAATTTGAGATTTATTTCTGATGACGTGTGAATTATCATATAGAGCGGATGAGTTTTCCAGTTATGCATCATTCGTTGTTCGTATGATGTCGTTCACTGTTCGCAAGCTGCTAGTCATAACGTGAGGGGCGTGTAGCTCGTATGTCTTCTTTATTGCAAAAATTTCCATTTGTTATTGCAAAAATATTTCACTCGGTTAACATGCATATGTCTAAAATATATATACATATAATATATATATATATATATATATATATATATATATATATATATATATATATATATATATATATATATATATATATATATATATATTAGTATATTTTGGTAGCAGTCTTTCCTGTAGACATATATTATTAAATATGACCGAAAAAGTAAGATTAATAATTCTAACACGAATTTTCTCGATCTTTCTTACGTTTCTTTTCACTGTTGATGGTAATTCAAAAATCAATTCTCCAAAATTCATTTTTATTTCTAGTCTGACGCGACACTTGAGCGCGTTTCGGAAAACTTATTACATTTTCAAAGACTTTAGTTTACACACACACACACAACTTTAACTGAATAGAGCTTAAACATCTTCGAGTTTTTTATACCTACATTTGGGTGAAGTGACATGTTACAATAGTTTTGGATGAGATGAAATAAACTTTTAACACAAGACAGGACACGAAACAATGTAATACAAACAGGTATTAAAGGTAGGTAACTGCAGAAGGCCTATTTTTATTGGCCCATATTTCTTGATGCTTCTATATTGGAGCGGAGTCTTGAAGTGGGTAGAATATAATTGTGCATTAATTGGCTGGTAATTGCTGGTGTTGACTTCTTGATGTGTAGTGCCTCGCAGACGTCAAGCCGCCTGCTATCGCTATATCTATTATGACAAGTCGCCAATATACGTCATTCTTTAAAAAGACGAATATCTGGCGAAAATGAACCTCATACTCTCTGACCAAACTAAATTCCAAAGGGTAACGATGGACACTACAGCCGAATTGAAAGCAAAGGTCAACAAATTGATCGAAACTGTGAACACCAAGAAATCCGGACTCCACCTGCCAAAGATTATTGGGGAATATAAACCTGGATATGCGTATGGAAATGTCAAGACACAGAAGCCTGGAAACCCACTTCGGCCAATCATCAGCCAGATACCCACACCCACGTACAGACTGGCGAAACGACTCAATGGCTTGCTGACTCTTTCTGTCCCTTGCGCCTTCAGCCTGAAGTCTCCAAAGGAATTTGTTGACTTACTGCGGGGAACACGCGCCACAGGGATAAGAGCCTCGTTGGATGTAGAATCACTGTTTACCAACGTACCTGTGGAAGAAACAATCGGGATGATAGCCGACAGAGTGTATCGTGATCCGGCCTGTACTCCTCTTGACATACCAGAAAAATTTTTAAGGAAACTACTCCAAGCTTGTACTAAAGAGGCACCCTTCTTGAGCCCAGATGGACACATGTATAAGCAAGTAGATGGGGTCGCCATGGGTTCTCCCCTAGGTGTCCTGTTTGCAAACTTCTACATGGGTACCATCGAGCAAAAAGTCTTAGTCGACATGAACTTGAAACCGGCCATATACTGCAGGTATGTTGACGACATTTTTACACAGGTACCTGATGTCAAACATCTGCAGGAGCTGAAGGAGGCATTTGAGCAGAATTCTGTGTTGCGTTTCACTTACGAGATGGAGAAGGATGGGAAGCTGCCCTTTCTAGATGTAACAGTCATGGAAAGGAGCGGAGTTTACCACACTGCAGTCTACACTAAGGAAACAAACATAGGAATGTGCCTGAATGCCAAGAGTGACTGCCCAGACAAGTACAAGAGGAGTGTTGTTAACGCTTATGTCGACCGTGCTCTCAGCCACAGCTCAGAATGGAAGCAAGTCGACGAAGAACTCTGTAGGGTAAGGCAGGTCCTAGTCAACAACGGCTTCTCCAATGGTTTCGTGGAAGACATCATCAGAAGGAGAGTGAAACGCCATGCAACTTCTGAAGAGACAACTAACACAACACATATATATATATATAATATATATATATATTATATATATATATATATATATATATATATATATATATATATATATATATATATATATATATATATATATATATATATATATATATATATATATATATATATATAATATATATATAATATATATTATATATATATAATATTTATATATATATATATATATATATATATATATATATATATATATATATATATATATATATATATATATATATATTATTAAATATGACCGAAAAAGTAAGATTAATAATTCTAACACGAATTTTCTCAATCTTTCGTACATTACACTTCACTGTTGGAGGTAAATCAAAAATCAATTCTCCAAAATTCATTTTTATTTCTAGTCTGACGCGACACGGGCGCGTTTCGTAAAACTTATTACATTTTCAAAGACTTTAGTTCACAAATACACATCTGAATAGAACTTACGTATCTCCGATTTTATATCTACATTTGAGTGAGGTGGAAGGGGTGATGTGGCATTAACACAAGACAGAACAAAATGTGGTATTAATAGGGTATTAATTTCATCAACACAAGACAGAACAAGGGTATTAATAGGGTATTAATTTCATCAACACAAGACAGAACACGAAACAATGGATATTGAATAGAAGTGTTTTGTAGAAAGCCTATTGGTCCATATTTCTTGATGCTTCTATATTGGAGCGGAGTCTTGAGGTGGGTAGAATATAGTTGTGCAATAATTGGCTGTTGATTGCTGGTGTTGACTTCTTGATGTGTAGTGCCTCGCAAACGTCAAGCCGCCTGCTATCGCTGTATCTATCGATGATTTCTGTGTTGTTTACTAGGATTTCTCTGGTGATGGTTTGGTTGTGGGAAGAGATTATATGTTCCTTAATGGAACCCTGTTGCTTATGCATCGTTAAACGCCTAGAAAGAGATGTTGTTGTCTTGCCTATATACTGGGTTTTTTTGGCGCTTACAGTCCCCAAGTGGGCATTTGAAGGCATAGACGACGTTAGTCTCTTTTAAAGCGTTCTGTTTTGTGTCTGGAGAGTTTCTCATGAGTAGGCTGGCCGTTTTTCTGGTTTTATAGTAAATCGTCAGTTGTATCCTCTGATTTTTGTCTGTAGGGATAACGTTTCTAATAACAATATCTTTCAGGACCCTTTCCTCCGTTTTATGAGCTGTGGAAAAGAAGTTCCTGTAAAATAGTCTAATAGGGGGTATAGGTGTTGTGTTAGTTGTCTCTTCAGAGGTTGCATGGCTTTTCACTTTAATTCTTATGATGTCTTCGACGAAACCATTGGAGAAGCCGTTATTGACTAGGACCTGCCTTACCCTACAGAGTTCTTCGTCGACTTGCTTCCATTCTGAGCTGTGGCTGAGAGCACGGTCGACATATGCGTTAACAACACTCCTCTTGTACCTGTCTGGGCAGTCGCTGTTGGCATTTAGGCACATTCCTAAGAGACTAACGTCGTCTATGCCTTCAAATGCCCACTTGGGGACTGTAAGCTCCAAAAAACCCAGTATATAGGCAAGACAACAACATCTCTTTCTAGGCGTTTAACGATGCATAAACAACAGGGCTCCATTAAGGAACATATAATCTCTTCCCACAGCCAAACCATCGCCAGAGAAATCCTAGTAAACAACACAGAAATCATCGATAGATACAGCGATAGCAGGCGGCTTGACGTTTGTGAGGCACTACACATCAAGAAGTCAACACCAGCAATCAACAGCCAATTATTGCACAACTATATTCTACCCACCTCAAGACTCCGCTCCAATATAGAAGCATCAAGAAATATGGACCAATAGGCTTTCTACAAACACTTCTATTCAATATCTATTGCTTCGTGTTCTGTCTTGTGTTGATGAAATTAATACCCTATTAATACTCTTGTTCTGTCTTGTGTTGATGAAATTAATACCCTATTAATACCACATTTTGTTCTGTCTTGTGTTAATGCCACATCACCCTTCCACCTCACTCAAATGTAGATATAAAATCGGAGATACGTAAGTTCTATTCAGTTGTGTATTTGTGAACTAAAGTCTTTGAAAATGTAATAAGTTTTACGAAACCGCCCGTGTCGCGTCAGACTAGAAATAAAAATGAATTTTGGAGAATTGATTTTTGATTTACCTCCAACAGTGAAGCGTAATGTACGAAAGATTGAGAAAATTCGTGTTAGAATTATTAATCTTACTTTTTCGGTCATATTTAATAATATATGTCTACAGGAAAGACTGCTACCAAAATATACTAATATATATAATATATATATATATATATATATATATATATATATATATATATATATATATATATATATATATATATATATATATATATATATATATATATCTATATATATATATACTTATGTATATATATGTGTAATCACGTCAGGTCGGGTCGGGGAAGGACGTGTGGTGGAGGAGTTGCTGCTTTCTCAGTCATTACCTGGAGACATCTTGACCTCACCGTACCGAGACTCAACCATATTCACCGTGAGTATACCAAGCAGGCGTGGGAGTGGCTGCAAGTGCCTACGGTGTACCATCTCTGTGACTGCTTATCAAAATAGGTGGGTTGGTGGTGTGGAGTCATGGAGGCAGGAGTGAGGGGCCAGGATGGACCCTGCAGGCCTCCCATAGTGAGGGGAGGTGGGGGTGAGTGAGGGGTGTTGTGTGGTCAGGAGGGAGAGGTGGGGGTTACGTGTGTGCCAACCAGCGTTTTTTTTTTTTTAAGTTTTGTTGAACAAGTTATATTGCCAGCAATAATTGGTGTAACATATCTAACATATTTTGAGTACATCACACGTGTAGTGAGTCGGATTACAAGTGTATGGTGTTA